TAATACTTTTTGAATTTGTGCTTTTGCAGATGATAGAGAAGTATGGAGGTCTTACCAAACCAAACCAAACTAACGATAATACTTTTTGAGATCTATCAGTATTCATGATTCAGAATTGAAATAAGTCTACTGGAAGTAAATAACAAATTATTGAATTTGTGCTTTTTCAGATGATATAGAAGTATAGGTTCTACGGATATTAAACCAGATGTTAAAAAATTTGCTAAACAAATCTACAGAAAATAATGCAGGGAACAAAAAAGTGAGAATATAACTAAAGATAATACTTTTTGAATTTGAACTTTTGCAGATGATATAGAAGTATAGAGGTCTTACGGATATTAAATCAGATGTTATTAAAAAGTTTACTAAACAAATCTACAGAAAATACTGCAGGGAGCAAAAAAGTCAGAATATAACTAAAGATAATACTTTTTAAATTTGTGCTTTTGCAGATGATATGGAAGTATAGAGGTCTTACGGGTATTAAATCAGATGTTGTTAAAAAATTTACTAAACAAATCTGCAGAAAATACTGCAGGGAACAAAAAATTCAAAATATAACTAACGATAATACTTTGTGAGATCTATCAATATTCATGATTCAGAATTCAATAACATGAAAAAACAACATGAAAAAATTAAATAACAAATTACTGAAGTTGTGCTTTTGCAGATGATATAGAAGTATACAGGTCTTACAGATATTAAATCAGATGTTGTTAAAAAGTTTACTAAAGAAATCTACAGAAAATAATGAAGAGAGTAAAAAAGTCAGAATATAACTAAAGATAATACCCTTATAATACTTTTTGAGATCTATCAATACTTATTATTCAGAATTAAAATAAATGATATCCTCTGGAATTAAATAACAAATTATTGAATTTGTGCTTTTGCAAACGATATAGAAGTAAAGAAGTTTTTGTAGATATTGAATCAAATATTGTTATAAAGTTTACTAAACAAATATACAGACAATAATGCAGGGAGCAAAAAAGTCAGAATATAACTAAATGTAATATTGTTTGAGATCTATCAATATTTATTATTCAGAATTAAAATGAATGGAATCCTGTAGAAGTAAATAACAAATTATTGAACTTGTGCTTTTAATGATATTCAGACGATATACAGTGTGTTTCAAAAAATATGATGTGGCATATCTCGTGGGGAGATTCTCCATGTAAAATTTTTACACAATTAAAATATAATTGACAAAGTATATGCGATACTGTAAAAATTGTGAAATGTCGATTAAATACCTGACTTTTAATTTATAGTAAATTTTAGTACTATACTTTTTATTTTTGTTATTTTATTATAGTTATCAAATTTATTACTGTACTACTAATACTTACATGGTAAAATCGCCATCAAAAAAATACTCCCAAAAACGCTACTAATATATAAGATAATCGTCCACTTAAAAGGTTTACATTCTTCTTCCAAATAATGACCATATTTCCATAAATAGGTGGTAAAATTTGGAAGATCCAACCGATCTAGAAGTTTTAAAAACTGTTTCCTTTTCGACAAAAATATAGATAATTTGATGACAGAAGATATACATGAAATGGTCATGTAAATGCTTTTCGAGAAATTTGCAAAATCGTTTCGATATTGTGCAACTGTAATGGTTAAACAAATTGCAAGAGATAATGTTACGATGTAGGATAAAAAAGTGCGTAGTTGGTATATTAGAGTTGGATTTTTTACGGGCCATACTGCAGTACGAGAAAGAAGAGTTTTTTGTTGGTGTAGCAGTTTAAACATGTTGAGAACAGCTGTACCACTGGTATCTACTGGTAACAGTATATCATTCAAATGTGTTATAAAATTCGTTTTGCTTATTTCAAAACAAGAAAAGTTCTACTAGGTATATTTAATTAATGGTTTAAAACGTCTTGTGACATGCGTACTAATATTCCTAAATAAAATATAGGATATTGCATACTTTATCTTAGTTTGTATATACAGTGTGTTTTATAGATTCTGGCAAAGTTGAACATTATAACATGGATTTAAGTAAATATATTTCCTGAAATGCTGTCGTGTAATAAGTAATTTTCGAAACACATGTAAAATATATAATTTTTTTGTAAGCTCTAAAATTCCGTAACTGGAGAATATTTATATTTTTCAGTAAAGAATTTTACTTATTAATTTTAATTTTGTATTTGATTTGACGAACGCAGTAAAATTATATAAAAATAATTTTTCTGGAATTAAAATTAGAATTTTAAATTTTTTTCGTTTTTTTACGGGATGTTTTTATACGGGATGTTTTTCAAAAGTGGCTCACCCCAATAACTTTTTTATTTTTTCAGATAATAAAACAAAGTTTGGTATGTTAGTATATGACATAAATCGAGATTGATTTACGTATTCAGTTACTTTTGGTCACCTGCCGTTTCACCGGAAATGACTACAAATTTCGATTTTTAATTTTTTTTTTGGTACCCCCGGTATTTTTTTACTTTATTCCATAGAAAATGACATTCTGAATAGAACTCGGAATAGAATGACGTATTATAGGTATGTCAACTTTTGAAATTTTCGATTAAAAAAAATGCATTTGAAATGAGTGCCATTGCTGAGTAAAGCTTCGTTCAGAACCCCGCAATTACTGGAATAAATTAGTGGTTTCATTTAGCGTAGAAGTTTAATTGTTCCTGTTATTTGAATGTAAGCATTCAGAACGTCAAAATTAATGGTAGTCATTTTCAATTAGTAAAAACAGTTAACAAACTTTTGACTTTTCCACTAATTATACTTCAACATTTGCGAAGAATGTCATTTTGGCCCTTGATTATTATCCGTCAAGAGAAATTGTGGTTAGAAATCAAAAGTTTATTGTTTTATAAGCTAAATATTAGGCTTTCTCTATGGATACAACTGGTTATCCAAGCTGTTGCTAGGATATTCTATTTATTTTAATTGTGTTTCTTAGACATTGTGAATGATCGTAAACTAAAAAGTATAAAGTGTAAAGCTTCATTCAGAACCTCCCAATTAGTGGAATAAATTAGTGGTTTCAATTACACTTTATAAGTACTATTTAGCTTACGATCATTCACAATGTCTAAAAAACACAATAATAAATAAAATATCCTAGCAACAGCTTGCGGTAGTCTGTAGTATCCATAGATAAAGCATAATTTAGCTTACAAAACAATAAACTTTTGATTTCTAACCAAAATTTTTCTTGACGGGTAATAATCAAAGGCCAAAATGACATTCCTCGCAAATTTTGAAGCATAATTAGTGGAAAAGTCAAAAGTTTGTTAACTTTTTCCAATAATTTCAAATTTCTACCACTAATTATGATATTCTGAATGCTTATATTAAAAGTAGGTGAACAAACTTCTACGGCTAATTGAAACTACTAATTTATTCCACTGATTTCAAGGTTCTGAATGAAGCTTAATTGAAACTATTAATTTACTCCACTAATTGCGAGCTTCTGAATGAAGCCTAAAAACCATTAATTTTTAACCAAGGATCAAGTTTTAGAAAAATAGATTTGATCGTCTAATCTTTTTCGTCTTTTCCTGGTAGGTTAAAAGATGCCTAAATCGTATTAATAATCATAACTTATTTTTTGGAACGAGAGTGGCTCATATTTGGAAAAAGCATTTTGTACGAATAATTTGGTACCACATAATAATTGGTATATTGAGTCAAATTGTTGTTAGATTTTATGGCCATGGCACTCTAGATTGAACGAGAGTGCCATGACCGAGGCGATAAACACGTCTATGAGTTTTTTTTCGCGAAAAAAACTTTAGGGAATTTTTTTTTAATTTTTAGTTAAAACATAATATTTTCATAATATGGCAACCTAGATGGTAGATTAAATTTACAAGAAAGAAAACCCAGAAAAGATACTGTCAAAAGATACTTTTTTTAAGTCAAAATTTAAGCCAGAAGTATCTTTTTTTTAATTTTCAAAAGTAAAGTGAAAATATGTTTTTTTTATCGAGCTCTACCAGCCCTGAAAATATTTGCACTTATTTAAGACTCATCCTGTATATGGTGCAATTAACCCTACTTTGTATTATTTGTTAAGATATATTATAGTAAAATATGAAAAAAAAATAAACAGCAGCACACCGTTCAAATGAGAACCTATGGTTAGTTCTTGTTGGTCCAACTCCCATACTTTTTACAACTGTATATTATATGTCAATTTTCAAAAACTGACATATAGTAGTCGATACGACAGAAATTCTCAGTTGTTTGCAAGTTTATAGGTTACTGCGACACCGTTGTTTTTTTTCGATCATACCGTCTATTAATATGTGCAATATCATATAAGCATTAATTATATTTTTACCCCTACATTTTACTGCAATATCTCTATCATGTTATTAGACTAATTATATGTTAAGAATCTCGCTGTTTTAGCATCATACTTCTGTTTGCAAAATGTGTCTTAATATCCAGTATATAATTAGCAATCCATGTCGTATTAAATACTAAGTTAAATACATGTTTGATAAAAACTTGTGAGAATATTTGCAAATGAAGGAAATTTTTATGGAGAAATTGTTTCAATAAAGGACATAGTGCCAAAGAAATCAATAAGATAGTTTAAAGAATCTGTTATGAATGTTTTACGATACCAGGGGTGTAGATAGGTGTATGCTATGGGGGTGGTACTATGATTAAGTCGCAAAAAAAATCACCGTCGGAATTTTTTTGTCGAATTAAAACGACGGCGATTTTTTTGTCTTCAAAAAGATATAAAAACATAACACAAAAATTAAAATATAGATTTGTAAATAACATAAACAAAAATGAAACAACGACGTTTATTAGTTAATTTTCTATAAACTATAAATAAAAAACTCTAAACTGTTTTATTTCTCTGTATTTTTACTAATAAAAATACAACGTTTATTAAACTAAGTTTATTAAACTATTAAACATCTGAGAACAATACAAAACAACATTCTGTTAAGCAATATCTAACTTAACTGTCAATCAGGGTTATGTCATATCAAGATGCTACAGATTAAACTTAACATATAATAATCCATAGATACAACATCTCCCTTCTTAAAATAATTGGTAATCTTTAAATTTAACCGGTTTTTAATTTGTCTTTTTGGACGCTCATTTTCTTGATGTACGGACACTATCTCGGATGAACTATCACAGTTTTGATCCGCACTGTCACAACAAGTATTTTGATCAATCACTGAACCACTTTCAGAACTTTTTAAATGGGAACTATTTCTACGTACAATAGCGCCTCTTGAGTCTTTGACAATATAAGACCTAGGTGAGTCAGGAACAGGTTTAACAATCTGACCTGCCTCCCACTCGTTATTATTTTGATTCTGAATCACAACAAATTGGCCTTCATTAAAACTGTTCCGAACTTTACAATTTAAATCATAGTATTTTTTATCTAACTCTCTTTTCCTACAAATCTCATTTTTAATATTAGAATTATTATAACTATTTGGTAACAATTTATTTTCATCAATAGGGATTTTAGTTTTTAAGTTTCGTCCCATTAGCAATTGTGAAGGAGTCAGGTTCAGCCCTACAATAGGAGTAGTGCGATAATTTAGCAAGCTTAACATTAAATCTTGATCTTTACGAAGCATCATTTTTGCTATTCCAACACCTTTCTCTGCAAGTCCATTGGACTTGGGGTAATGAGGACTACTTGTGCATATTTTGAAATTCCATTGCTTGGCAAACTGTCTGCATTCATATGAGTTGTATGGCATGTTATCTGAAATTAACTCATCAGGTATACCATGTATTGAAAATATCTCTTTCAGTGCATTAATCACATCATATGATGTTTTTCCTTTCATTTGTTTAATCTCTAGCCATTTTGAATAATAATCCATGAGAATCAGATAACTTTTGCCTCCATAGTCACATATATCACTAGCAACTTTTTTAAATGGTCTATTAGGTATCTCATGTGGTATCATTGGTTCTTTACAGAGTTTTGGTGAATATCTCTCACAAATTTGACAATTTCTTATTAACTTTTCTATCTCAGCATTCATATTTACCCAATATAACATTTCTTTGGCTCTTTGTTTGGTCTTTGTCATTCCAAAATGTGTTTCATGTAAAAGATCTAACATGTCTTGTATTAATGTTCTTGGAACTATCAATCTGTCCTTTAATAATAATAAGTTATTTGATAATGTTATATCATTTTGATATTGCCAGTATGGTCTTAAAGAATTTGGTATCATCTTAAAATATTTAGGCCATCCATTTTTTATATACTCTATTAACTTACTTAGGTCACTATCATGCTGTATAGCTTTCTCAAATTGAGCTCTTCTCTCCTCAGATATACTAAAATGCTTCTCAATACTATGCACTATCTCTTTCATATCTGGATCATCTTGTACTTCATCTTTAATATATGACCTTGACAACAAATCAGCAATATACATATGTTTACCTGGACAATATTCAAAATTTAGATTATATCTAATTAGTTTCAACTTGAGTCTTTGTAACCTTGGTGATGGTACTTTGCTTAAGTCTTTCTTCATTATTCCCAACAATGGTTTATTATCAGTTATAATTTTGACATCTCTGCCATAAATAAAATGATGAAATTTATTTACAGCAAATACCACAGCAAGCAATTCTTTTTCACACTGTGAATAATTCTTTTCAGCTGCTGTTAGTGGCCTTGAACCATGATATGTTGGTTTGTCCTGCATTAAGCAACAACCCAATCCATCTTTTGACGCATCTGTCTGAATAACTATAGGTTTGTCACTTTGAAATGTCCCTAGTACAAGATCACTAGCTAGTATGTCTTTTAATTTATTTAATACTTCTGTATGTTTTTGATTCCACTGAAAATGTACGTCTTTACGCAATAACTCTCTTATTGGACTTGTTACTTTTTGCAAAATTAGGAATAAATCCTCTCAAATAATTTAACATTCCGAGAACTCTCTGTAACTCTTTCAAGTTAGTCGGATTTTCTATAGCCTGAATTGCCTTTACTCTATCTTTACTCGGTTTCATTCCGTCTTTGCAAAAAACATGTCCAACGTAATTTACTTCGTTTACTTTATACTGTAACTTTGTTTGATTAAATTTTATATTTAGCATTTGTGCTCTTTCTATCACCTTTTTCAGTATAGCGTCATGCTCTTGTTCAGCTGCTATCAACAAATCATCAAAATATATTATAACACCTTCTATATCCCCAAAATTTTCCTCATTTACTTTTTGAAAATACTCAGGAGCATTAGTAAGCCCAAAGGTTAGTCTCAAAAATTTATAGCAACCAAACACTGTACTGAACGTGCACAACTCACTTGATTTGTGATCTAATTCAACTTGATAAAAACCATCCTTGAAATCTAATACAGTAAACCAACTTTTATTACACAATTTTGAACTTATATCCTCTATTGTGGGAATAGTATAAAAATTTCTTTGTATGGCCTTGTTCAAATCCTGAGGATTTAAACATAGCCGTAAACTGCCATTAGATTTCTCAATTATAACAAGATTGCTTACCCAATCTCCTGGACTATCTGTTTTGCTAATTATACCTTTCTGTTCTAGCTCATTCAATGTTTTTCTTAACTCCTCCTTAATTGCTAATGGTACTCTCCTTGCTGGATGTGCTACAGGTTGACAACACTTTTTAAGCTTTATCGAACACTTTTGAGGACATTTACCTACACCAGTAAAAATTGACTTATTATTTTGAATAAACAATTCTTTACTAGACACTACTGAATCTATGCTTTTAATAAAACCTAGCATATTAGAAGTTTTCAAACCTAATATTGGCTCAGACTTAACATCGGCTACTACTAACGTTAATTTTTCTTTTAACTTGTCATTAAAAATATTAACAGTTATCTGGCCAATAGGTTTGATTTTAAACCCCCCATATGCTTCAAGTATGATATTACATGACTCTAATTTCTTATCATTTAAATGACTCTTATATAATTTTAATGGTAAAATGTCTACTTCACTACCTGTATCTATCTTAAATCTAACAATGTTACCTTTAATGTCCACTTCTTTATATAGTGCTTTACAGTTTTGTGTGTTAATAGAATTTACAAAAAATTTATCAACATTTACATTGTCATCACCCTTTTCTTTTGATACCTCCTTAACCTCTTTCTTGACCGGTTTTCTGGTACATGCCTTTGCAAAATGATTGACTAGGCCACACTTAAAACACTTCTGCCCATATGCCTTGCACTGTTTTGGTCCATGCTTCGAGAGACATTTCCTACAATCAAACAAACCTTCATTTTTCTTCAGCTTATTTTCTTTTTCGTATCCTCTTCTCTCTTCTTTTCTAACTCCATATACTTGCTTTTGATCTTTCTGTACTTCATCAGTTTGAAGCTTTGATATTTCAGCAACTCGACATTCGTTTATTGCTTTTTCTAAATTTAAGTCTTCACGAGTCAACAATCTTTCTTGTAGTCTCAAATTTGTGATTCCCAAGACAATCCTGTCTCTTATTAGCGAGTCTTTTTGCTCATTGAACTCGCAGCTTTCCGCTAGTTTCTTCAGATCTGTCACAAATTTGTCGATCCCTTCACCCTCTTCTTGTTTACGTGAGAAGAACATATATCTTTCATATATAACGTTTTTTCGGATTACAATATTTCCCAAACTCGTCTATGACCTTCTGGTATTGTTTCTTTTCAGCTTCATTAAGTGAAAACGTATTGTAGACATTTATCGCCTCTTGACCCATACAATTTAACAACAAAGCTACTTTTACTTCATCTTGTACTTCTTGTTTCCCTTTGGCCAGTAAGAAAATTTCAAAATTTTGTTTAAATAACTTGAAATTTTCGCTTATATTTCCCGTAAACTTCATCTGCTCCGGCAGCCTCACGTCCATTTTTGATTCTTTTTTAAGGTGTTTACCACAGTGACTACCAACTTCCTGAAATATTCTTACAATCCTTGACTTTTTTGGCTTCTTTTCTCGCTGGCTTTTATTTTTCCGCTGCCACCATGTTTTATTTCTCTGTATTTTTACTAATAAAAATACAACGTTTATTAAACTAAGTTTATTAAACTATTAAACATCTGAGAACAATACAAAACAACATTCTGTTAAGCAATATCTAACTTAACTGTCAATCAGGGTTATGTCATATCAAGATGCTACAGATTAAACTTAACATATAATAATCCATAGATACAACATAAACTATCAAAAAAAAAACTATAAAAACTATAAACTATAAATAAAACTACAAAACAAAATCAAGTTTTCTAGTACGCTGTTTGGAAAACCTATCAATAACAGCATCAACATTTATTTCAATATCTTTATGGGTATTGATTAGAGTTAACCCCACTAATCTGTCCTGGCCAATAAGAACACTTTGTGTGCTTTTAATTAGGTCGAACATATTATAAACGATAAATCAACATAATTAAAAGCATACAAAGTGTTCTTATATGTCGGATATTAATTAAAAAAAATCCTTTCATAGTCAATGACTATTTCAATTCTCGTATCTCGTCAAGCGTCAGGGGGGGTACTGTCCCCCAGTACCCCCCCCCCCCTTATCTACGCCTCTGTACGATACCTATCCTATAATTATTTTAATAATGCCAATATAGATATAGTAGTAAATATCAAATATTTTTTTATAATACAGGGTGGTCCGAATTGTATTGCGGAAACTTCGGCAGCATATTCTGCAGATAAATGTAAGTAAAAAAGTTGGTATAAATGTATGTCCTAAGACGCTTAGTTTCGAAGATACAGGGTGTAGAAGATTCATTTTTATTTCGATTTTTTCCATATAATTTCTGAAGTAACGCCAATATTTGGATGGAAATTGGTGTCTGATTGATGTCTGACTCCTATACTTGGAGAGGGCGCCATATTTTAACGGGTTTGAAGAGTAATAGCTTTTTGTCCGTACCTGTATAACTACTGAGTGAAAAAACATACATTTCTGAGATTTTTTACTCGAAAAATATCTCTGGGTAAAAATCCTTACGAGTTCTCAAGATATTTGAAATCGAAATTGTCAATACCTGTCGTCATTGATATAAATAATTAAAGATGTTGACTAAATAGTTATTAGTCTGAAATCAAAAATTTGAAATGTTTTTGTGCCAAAAGTTCAACAGAAACTGTTTTATCGCCATTTTATCGAAGAAAAATTTATGAGTAATTTAAAAAAAAATTAAAAAGGTCCCAAATTTATCATTTCAGTCAAATAACTATGTAGTTGACATTTTTATTTTTTGTCATTAATGACGTGTATTGGACTATTTCCATTCTAAATATCTTCAGAACGGTTGCTCGTAGAGATTTTTACCAAGATACATTTTTTACGTAAAAAATCACGGAAATGTATATTTTTTCACCCAGTAGTTTTATACAGGTACGGACGAAAAGTTATTATTCTTGAAAGCAGTTAAAACACATGTATGGAGTTATATTGACACCAAACTTCTGAAATTATTTGGAAAAAAATTGAAATAAAAATGAAATTTCTACACACTGTATCTCCGAAAAAAAGCATTTTAGGACATACATTTATATGAACTTTTTTACTTATTTTTATCTGCAGAATATGCTGCCAAAGTTTCCGGAATACAGTTCGGTTCACCCTGTATATTCATGCATTAGAGACGAAATCGACATAACCCCCCATTTTTTACGTTTTGTTTGGCGTTTCAAATGACACATATGAAATTAATTTGAAATTTTCTAGATTTGTTGGGCTTCTCTGAGCTTATTTTATGTTATAGTATAATTTTAATAATCCAGAAAGTCGCTAGTCCGAACACTAGAAAAATCTGGATACTGCCATTTTCGGCCATTTTAAAACATTGGTCTCTGAAATACGATTGTAACAATATTTATCGAAAATCTGGAGTTTTCCAATTTGGAAAAACAGAAACGTTATATTTTGTTTATGAACTGAGTATACAGGGTGTCCCAATATACCGTGGACGTAGAACTACTACGTGTTTTTTTGAAGTGAAAATAAGTTCATTGGGCACAATTTACCTCTATACAAAAATGATTCTTTTGTTCGTTAGAGGGCATCAAACTTTAAAAAGTAAACGCATTTTTTAAGATATTTTAAGAACCGTTATTTCGATTTGAATGAGATTTGGGGTGCCTATGTTTCGCTAAGCGGTTTAATATTATAGACGGAGAGCTGGCTACATAAAAAATCTTATCATCGTTCCATGGCTAATTTTTCTTGTGAAGTATTTTTTTGTATAGCTATTATGAAATAGTCATGTCTGCCAGTGCGATCCCGGGGCTTAAAGCGGGGGCGGCCAATCGAAAGGGTAAAATTTTGACACTAAAATATTATAAGGTACACAAGGAGTTATAATTGCCAAATAGCTTTTATTTATTATTAAAAAACGTGTAAAACTGTTGACAGACATTTTTCTCGTGGCTAAAATGTCGGCAGACAACGCGAAAGAGGCATGAAATTTTGACAAAAAAAACATTGCATACATGCATGTCGATTGGTGGAATGTCATGTTTATTGTTTATTTATTTAAAAAGGCATATGCAAAAAGGCAGGCAAAAAATCGTGGCTCAATCAGCGGTAGACAGTTATCAAAAGCGCGATATTACTATACAGGGTTAATCTTGAATAAAAGCAAATATTTTCAGACCTAGTAGATCTCAATAAAAGAAACATATTTTCTTCCTACCGTTTTCCAAATAAGTCTAAAATAACCGAGTTATTGTAGTTTGAAAATTTAAAAAGAAATTGATTTATTTTTAGCCACCTGATTTTTTCTGTATTTGAATCCATGCTTTTAGTGTGTAGCCATAGACTAAAGCCGTAAGCATGGTAGGTTAATAAATAATTATACCGTGGGTAAATTTGCGGTAAACAGGTATTTTTAAAAAGATTTCTAAAATATACAAGAAAATTTAAACAAAAATGCACGATTCTCTACATCTTTTTTTGCGAAAAAAAACTCATAGACGTATTTCTGGGGTCGAAATATATCAGCCTTAAAAGTATTTGCACTTATTTAAGACTCACATTGTATAAGCGTTTTCAGGAAACGCTCGCAGCGTTATTAATTGAAACATAATACCAGAATACCACAGTTATCTGTGATAATACGTGTTAGTCTACAAAAAATTTACGGTGCAGATATCGACTCAGAGGAAGACTCGTTTGCGAGAGCGAGGATCTGCAGTACGATGAGTCAGATACAAATAGTGAGACAGAATAGTAAATATATGATATCTGTTACTGAGAATAATAAAAATATATATTTATAATATAATCGTATACATGATTTATCTATACTTAAATGGATGAGGCGGCGAGCGTCCCCCTAGAGAATATCGCGCTTTTAATAACTGTCTGCAGCTGATTTAGAAACGATCTTTTTGTCTGCCCTTTTGCATACGGCTTTTACAATAAATAAATATGACATTCCGCCAATCGGCATGCATGTATGCCAGAATTTTTTTTTCATTTTTCAAATTTAATTTTTTAATAATTTTTAAAATTTTATGCCTCTTTCGCGTTGTTTGTCAGCATATTAGCGATAGAAAAATGTCTGCCAACAATTTTCCACGTTTCTTAATAATAAATATAAACTATTTTCGCAATCGTGTATCTTATAATATTTTTAGTGTCAACATTTCACCCTTTCGATTGACCGCCCCCGCTTTAAGCCCCGGGATCGCGCTGGCAGACATGACTATTTCATAATGGCTACACAAAAAGATACTTGACACAAAAAATTAGCCATGTAACGATGATAAGATTTTTATGTAGCCAGCTCTTAGACTATTTGACTCTATTGTTTTAAATTGTGTGCAATTAACTTATTTTGGTTAAAAAATACGTAGTTGTTCTTGGCAATAAGAATTGTTCAAATTTGGCAGGTGCATTCAGCCCCATAAGCAGGCCTTTTAAAAAACCTATTTACAACTTCGCTGTAAAATCAACAAAGGATCGAGCCAATATCTGGACAGTTCAAAATTTGCATGCGATTTTCTATGTTTCCAACGAAGATGCACCACTTGGTAGATGAGTTACAATATATTCTGTTATTTATCTATAATTTATTATTTTTCATCTGGTACAGATTAATTATTTTGTTTATTAGAATTATAAAAGAAAAACGTTAAATAAATTACGCATTTATTTGTACAACATTAAATTAAATAATGAATCGTATATTTACATATCTTTCTTACAATAATAACTAAAATTTACAATAAAAATATACATATATACAAACTTATTAATCTCAGTATAGATCTAACATATTGAAAGCCAACCATTTACCTAAAGTAATACATAATTATAAAATAATAAAACATTCTTCAAGTGAAAAATATATATAAAAACGTTGGGATTATAAGTAACACATACTAAGTATATACCTATTCATACAACATTCATATCCCAAATATGAATCAAATTAAGTTACAAATAATAGTAGGAATTTTAGCTACCGTCCAATTTTTGAAACATGACTATCGATTCAGAATATTTTTTAGGAAAACCAACCCCAAATTAGCATTTAAAAGTGGTGGACTAAGACTACTTTCCAATTTATAGTCTTAAGACAGGGATTGGCTCAATCTCTAGATCATTGCTTAGTTCGTGAGATTATTCACTACTACGCAATAATAAAAAAATCGTATTAGCTTTCATCAGCATATCAATATATGCTGTAAAAGTTAAGTACCAATTAATAATATCTATAATTATAAGAATACTGCTATCATTTTTTACAATCAAAATAATCAAATTAACCTACTAATAGGATTACATTCCAGTCTCTTCACTTAATATTAAGTTGAATACTATATTACTTTTTATTTTCCTTATTGCTGTATTAAAACTGAACAAGAAATATTAAAAAAATAGTATATTGATTTATTGGGAGTAAAAATGACACTTTATGTGGTGAGGCTGTACGAGGCTGTGCCTCGATATACAGCCGAGACACAAAAGGTCATTTTTATTCCGAATATAGAACATGCTATTTTTTTTTCAAAGGCCACAAATAATTTTTTAAACAATTTCAAACGTTCCAAATAATATAAAAATATTTTAAAGTCATACCTTGCATGTAATTATATATTATTATTCCGCTCGTTGAATTTGACACTTTATGTTTAATAATATATTTTCGAACTTTTATGCTTAGACATAAAAGTGTTGTGACATTTATGTCTAAGCCAAGTCTAGGCGTTAAAATTACTTTTTCTACGACTAGTTTAGAAAATGCAGTTTGACACACGGAAAACTCGATCTGAAATTGGCGTTCTGCAAACTGTCGATGTAGTGTGATAAGGATTTAGCGCACGACATGTGTCTTAGTCCACACGACATTTTTAACATTTTAACCTCCAATGTTTAGCTGAAACGCCAAACGTAACGCAGCCATCAGAAAAGTGTCATCATTACATCGCAAATTATTCCACAAAACTGGCAAAAACTGAGTGAGTCTGCCGCTAATTTGTAGTCGTAGAAAAAATAGCGTAAAAAACTCGTTCGAAAAGTTCTTTATACACTCGTTCGATTTGTGGTTCTTGTCTGCGGCTCGAGCCAAGAAATTGTCGAACTCGTGTGCAAAACGTCGTTTTCGAAACTCGTTGTTTAATATACTATTCTTATATTGTCAATCACGTCGCAAAAATTAATACTTTTGTGACGTTTGAAAAAAAATATATTATTTAAACTTCAATTACAAATTCAAGAAAAATGTAATTACGTTATACGGACACTCAAAAAAAGGACTAAGACTTTTTATTACAACCTGAAATTCACACAAGTTTGACACCTAATCAACTGAAGAATAAAGTGGTTGGAGCCTTTGGTGTTACAATAACAAAATAAAACACTAATTCACCACCAAAATACTCCAAAACTATTTACTTTTAATACTGGACTCGGGTTTCGCTAGATAATTAGATAAAAAAAAACTGTTTAAAGTAATTTAACTAATTTTAATTATCTGCTGATGATGCTAACGTAGCTAGCAAAACACGTGTCAAATATTAAAATTGTACTGTGTTGTAACGTAACAATTGTACTTGTTTCTATGGTACTAAAATAGTAGAAACAAATTCTACTATTGTCCCAAATGTAGGTAACAATTTTTTTTCGTGTATTATTTTAAGTAATTACAAATTACTTTCTCGATATTTAAAATAAAAACAATTCTCTAAAGTTCATGTACTATTATTTACAACACCATTAATCAAAATGTAGGTACAATATTTTGTTTTGAATATGTAAAAATGCCAAAATTTGCCATTTTTTAGGGTTCCGTACCCAAAGGGTAAAAACGGGAACCCTATTACTAAAGCGGCCCATACATTATCAAACAAATTGCGCAACACAGGCTGTTGCGCAACGAGTTGCCAATGTTTTGATAAGTTTCAAGAATGTTTGAATTATTTTGTGCAACAGGCGTTTGCGCAGCGCGTTGTGTAGTGTATGTGTGTGTTGCGCTTCGGTGTGCAATATTTTAGTTCTTTCATCCAAATTCTTTGTTTTCTTTTTCGTTTTTTTTGGTATCCTTGACATCATCTAGGGTATATACGATAATAATTGACGCAATGGCAATTGAGGACATGATTGTTTCTCAAACAATGCACAACTTTTAATAAAAAGTTTGATTAAAATTTTACTAAGTGCATGGGTGATACAGTTGTGCAACGGAACGTTGCGCATCGCTTTGTTGCGCAACTTGTTTGATAGTATATGGGCCGCTAAATCAGTTGTGCAACGCAACGTTGCGCATCGCATCGCTTGCGCAATTTCTTTGATAATGTATGTTTGTTTGATAATGTATGGCCCGCTTAAGACTTCGCTGCCCGTCCGTCCATCTGTCACAAAGGTCTATCTTATGAACCGTTATAGCTAGACAGTTGAATTTTTTACAGATAATGTATCTATGTTGCTGCTATAAGAACAAATACTAAAAACAGAATTAAATAAATGTTTATAAATAAAAAAGTACTTTCACTAAACATTATCTTTTAAGTAAGAATTTTACATAGAATCTTTCAAGTCCTCGGTGGCCGCGTTGTTAAAGCGTTAGGACTTTACGCTGCTATGACGTTGGAGTGGTAGTAAGGCAGGTTCCAATCCTAGTCAAGGCGACTTTTTTTAATCGTTTTTTTTTATTTTTACATATTTTTACATATTTATTTTTACTTTTTACATATTTATTATTTTTCATTTTTTTAATTACTTATACGCGCATTCAAAATTTCAGCTAAATCGGAAAAAAAGTTTATAATAATATAGTGTCTAATGTTGTATAGATAATGAATGGTACGGAACCCTTCGTGCGCGAGTCCGACTCGCACTTGACCCATTTTTCGTTGGCGTCAATTTTTTCACTGATCGTTGGCTTCATTCGTTGGCTCCTTCGAATATGGGTAAGAAAGAAAGGTAAAATGTTGTCAGAAAGTGATAGTGATGTAGAATGATTGAGGGGGGGGGGTTAATCACTGCGACCTTAAAGATCGATTGTGTCCCCCTTCATCGAGTTATAACTCAACATATAGTCTATAACTCATCATATATGGGGATTTTCCTGTTGTAGGGGGACAGGGTATTTCCCATCCTCCTCTGACAACAGTTGTTCTTCCTCCGAAGGTACACATACATCCTTCCACGGTTGGGGCTTAGCCCTCCGTGCTCTTCACAGTGGAGGAGCTTGTCTCCGGCTGAGGTACCCGTGAGGTGGGGGCTGGAGGATCTGTCTCCATTATGCCTACCTCTTTAACGTCTCTTCTTAGACCTGATACCAGTGTTGTAGCGAAACTATAATAGATGATATATCCCCATTTCTCTATTGCCTCCTTGGATTTGAGGTCAATTCCTATTGTGAAGACCTAACAATGACCCTCCTCCCTCGAGTTGATGACTCGCCAACTCGATGTCCTTACATTGTAGTTCTGAGTCTGGAAAAGTCTCAGCAAGTAGGTGGTGTTTTCCCCTGGCTCCTCGGCAGAAAGACCGTGATGGTCGCCCTTTTTGGGATATTTTCTCCCTTCACTGCAACAAGTCCCGGATCCTGCCAATCATTTGAAAAGGGGTAGTTACTTTGTTATTTTAAATGGAACATGGAGTATATTATTACATTTTTGGAAATTGCTTTCGTGTCTCATATTTTTTTTATTATACTAACCTGTACCTTTTTGACATAAAAAATAAAATATATGTAAAATTGACAAAAACGTGATCTTGAATAAGCATTGGTAAAATCATGAATTGAAAATTTTTAAAGTTGAAATTTGGGATAAAGAAAGTCGGTATATTCGATCTATCTAAACCAACTGATTGGATATTACACAGGAAGAAGAAAAAAATACTTGTTTTCGTTTATTATAAAATTGCTCAAATTTCTGTTATTTATTCAACCCTATGTATATTTTTTAAAAAACCAAAAGACTAACAAAATTGCCTCTCAACAATACATCACGTTCCTATATCTACCTTTCGTTTTTTTAAGTTGAGCTATTTAAAAATTAATAATTTTGTTATTATAGTTTCATTTCAAGAATTTCCTTACCATGACAATATTTTTAGCAAGAAATTTAGCAAGTCTAATGTCCACATAAGGTTTGAATGTTTATTATAGTAACGAATTTCTTTAAACAAAATAATTATAATAGAATGATTATTGTTGAAATCTACAATAATAAATCATGACAATATTTTTAGCAAGAAATTTAGCAAGTCTAATGTCCACATAAAGTGTGTGCCACATAATTGTGTGCACCTCGGCCTTTTTATCTTTTTTGTCCCCACCTGAAATTTGCGGCCGAGGCGTAGCCAAGGCCAATTTTCATATTCAGAAAAAAAATCAGTTTTAGATTATAGAATTCAGTTTCAACAAAAAAAATTCATATTCGGCCAAAAAAAGATCAACTTTACGGCATTGGTGCACAAATAACTATTTTGATCTTTCTGTTTGATACCCAATCGGTTGGTTTAGACAGATTATGTCGAGTGACGATTATGACGAGTTTCGTTAAGCTATAAACCAAATTTCAGCTTTCAAATTGCCGAATTTATGATTTAACTAACGCTTATTCAAGATCATGTTTTTGGCAATTTTACACATATTTTTACGTTAGTATAGGAGAACAATATTATAGGATATGAAAGTGGTTTCGAAAAATGTAATAATATAACAGGTGTTCCATTTAAATTAACAAAGATGCTATCACACTTATTATGAAGCGGCAACGCTGAAAATCTCTCTATATGCATAAATCCAAATTTAAAAAAAATCACCGATTCTCCATAAACGTCTAACGTACCAGGGCCGTGAATCACCCTACAGTCATCACGGAGACCATTTTAATGTCGTTTTTTTCTCGGTCTTCCAATCATTCGTTTGCTTTATTTTAGGAATATCTTAAGACAACTTATCTAGCAACCTAACTATATATGATTACTATAAGGTAATGTAACGGCACTGACTGTACTTTTGCTTTTCTTCAGTTTCATCTTCTCTTTGATCAGATTCAGTTTTGAAGATTCGCGATGTATCGGCACCGGAGGCGTCCTAACCTTCTCGGTAAACACTCTGTCCTTTTCCATTTGCACCACCGAATACAGATCGAACTTGAAATCGCTGGACACCATCATGGGACTCTTCAGCACGGAGGCCGAGTTTCTCACCAGAGTGGACTCTTTGGTCTGGTTTTCGTCGGGAGTGTCCAAGTAGAATTTTGGCACGGAATTTTGCCGGATGATGGGCAGTTCTTTTGGAAAATCTGAAACGTAAATTTATAAGTTATTAGAACATTGCTAATGTAAGGAAAATAAATATAGAATTTTACAGTATAAGAACCGGTTTATTAAGTTATTTGAAGATATATATTTATATAATAAGATCACAGTAAAGTATGTTCAACGAGTCAAGAAAGATACGGAAGACGACATCCAAAAAATGACAGAAAATACAATTCATGTATGTGTTGGAGAGAGATGCGGAATTCCAGCCTATGTCCGAAATAATTAGACATATGGCTTTTATAATTAAATATACCTACCTATATCCACAAAGTTACGCGGAAAAGTTTTGATTGCATTGGTTTCGACTTCTATGCGGAGGGTATTAATCTTTTGTTGTTATATTATACCAAAAAAAGATTAACCGCCTCCACAAAGAAGATATAAAGATATATTTATAACCACGAAGTTGCACGCATCTGGCAAGTTTAGTATCGGCAAATCGCCATATGTCTAATTATTTCGGACATATTCGGTATCTGCCTCCAACCTATGCAATAAACAGTATGATACAATTGCAGAGATATAAAAGGGATATTTCCACTTCCATTTCTCTGCATAATTGTCACTATCATGTCCTTTTTGACAGTAGCATGCAGGTAGCGAGGCTGCTGAGTCAAATATATCAGTGTATATTTTATACAAGTATCTAGCAAAATAAAAACACTAAATCACCACAATACACCAAAACACTTTTACTTTTACACTGGACGCGCGTTTCGCTAACCATGTTAGCATCATCAGCAGATGATTATAAACTAAACTCAACAACTCAAGTATCTATACGATTTTATTTATTAACAATAAATCTTTACCTATCTTTAAGGATAAACTTTTTGACATCCTTCGTTCCCTTAATGACTTCTTCCTTAATGTCACTTCTTCTTCTTCTGGGACGATCAAATTGACAGATTTTGATTTGGGCTCTCCTTCGTCACTTGAACTGGATGACGTCTTGTCAGGAATGTTGTGAAAACTGACGGATTTTTTAATTGGAAATTTTTCATTGAGTTTCGACTTCTGAAAAAATGTTAAATTTTTTTATTAGATAAAAGATTAATACATAGTAATCCAGTGATCTGAATAATCCCTTTATCAGGATTGTTGTTTCAGATTTTATTGATATGAATATAAAATCATTAATATATTTGACGTATTATGACGTAGAACGATTTTTAGTTGTTTATTTAAATTAAAAATCATAACGCAATAATTGGGAGATTAAAAGCAAAGCACCGATAGGGATGAATTACAAGATTAAGTAAAAAGATTTATGAAAATTTCGACGTCATATATCTAATCTCACACACTTATTGATGTTTTTTAGTTCTGTGGGAGTCATCGGTATCAACCATACATAAATACATAGATAAATAAAAAGTATTATTTCGTTATCAGTTAGTGAAAACTCATATGAAAAGAGTGCAGTTCGTTCCAGATTTAGTTAATTTGTAAGTATGTATACTAAAGCTTCATTGAGAACCTCGCAATTAGTAGAATAAATTAGTGGTTTCAATTACACCTTATATTTTTTAGTTTACGATCATTCACAATGTCTAAAAAACAATTAAAATTATTAGAATGTCCTAGTAACAGCTTGCGGTAATCAGTTGTATCCATAGAGAGAACCTATTATTTAGCTTATAAAACAATCAAATCTTGATATCTACCCACAATTTCTCTTGACGGATAGTAAATGAAAGGTAAAAGTGACATTTCTCGCAAATTTTGAAGTATAATTGTTACGGTTATATATTTTAAAGGGCTAAAGGGCTAAAGATATATCAATTAAAATAAATATAAGAAAATTAACTCCCCTTTAAAATATATAACCGTAACATAATTAGTAGAAAAGCTAAAAGTTTGTTAATTTTTTCTACTAACTGAAAATGTCTCTCACTCTTCCCGGTTTGGTTTGCTTAGCTTTAAGCTTCATTCAGAACCTTGCAATTAGTGCAATAAATTAATGGTTTCAATTAGCGTAGAAGTTTGTTCCTTTAATTTCAATGTAAGCATTCAGAACGTCAAAATTAGTGCTAGTCTTTTTCAATTAGTAGAAAAAATTAACAAACTTTTAACTTTTCCACTAACTATACATCAAAATTTGCGAAAAATGTCATTTTGGCTTTTGATTATCATCCTTCAAGAGAAATTGTGGTTAAAAATCAAAAGTTGATTGTTTAATAAGTTAAATATTAGGCTCCCTCTCTATGGATACAAGTGATACAACTGACTACCGCCAACTGTTGCTATTTTATTAATTTTAATTGCGTTTTTAGACATTGTGAATGATCGTAAACTAAAAAGTATAAAGTGTAATTGAAACGACAAGTGCGAGGTTCTGAATGAAGCTTAATATAGAAATATTTTTAATTTTATCGTAGTATGTTCTCTAGTAGTATATTCGCTAATTTTGCATGAAAGGGGGGGGGGCTATTAATAATGGTAAATCTTAAAAAAATATCATATATTATACAAAATATACAGATAATTTTAGAAAAAAAATAAAATTCTTGAATTTCTGTTTCAGTTATATTGTGTAGGCTTGGTGCATTTCAGCAGATTTTAAAAATTTCGGCAACAGCGCTCGGTACGGCAAAAATCAGAACTTTCCAGCTCTGTATATCACCGATCACGCTGTCTTGATTACAGTTTTTGTTGATAGCGGTGAGATAATATTAAAATCGTGGCTTTGTCATAACATATTTAAGTATTTTAGTTTTTATACTAGTGCAGTTATTGAACCTATAAAATTCTCAGGTACGAAGATTGTGTGATTTAACACTGTTTTGGGTGGTAAAAATTGAGTGAAAAGGAAAATGACAATAAAATTACTAAAACACTATAAAGGGCTCGAACTCACTGACGACCAGGTCGCAACGACCTGGCCGTCGGCTGGCCGGATGCATTGCGTTTATAGCTGCGGTCAGATGAACGACCAGTTTCAACAGAGTGGTCAGATCTAACGATTTTTTACGTTTTACGAATTAGAAAATATTGTTTCAGAAATGTTAAAATATCCGAGTTAACTAAAAAGCGAAGAAGCGAAGTTTCATGAGCTTATTAAATGTTCTAATATTAAATAATGCATTTAAAATATTCTTGGATTTTTCGTTAATAAATACTGGTGTGGTAAATGGAGTAAGTAAAATCTCCAACCCCGACTAAGTAAAATTCGTTAATAAATACTGGTGTGGTAAATGAAGCAAATAAAATCTCCAACCCCGTTATTTCCATGTTTTTCAAATCCGCGATGCCTGCTATTCCATCAGTCGTTTCATAACAGAATATTCTAGATCCTACGTCTATGTAATTTAATATGTGTAGAGTGAGACATGTAACTCGTGAGATTTTCATCAATAAAGGACAAAAACAGTATTGTTCCTAAAGGTGCGTCCAGACTTGAGCATTTTAGCCCGAAGGAACCGAGCGCGCACGTACCAGCAGAACAAATAGGCCGAACAAAAAGCATTGTGTACGCGCGACCGACAAAAAGGGAGATATTCTGTTTCTTTTTTCTACTGATATGGACTTCTACTGATCTCTTATCGACTTTAGAAGTAAACATATTAGGGCCATCGTAAAAAAAGGTCGTCAGACACTGGCTCTAAAAATAAGCAAGTAGAAAGTTGAGCTTCCAGTTATTTCAATGTTTACAATATAAATTCCTCTTTTTTATTGTTACTGAGAATCTACAACAGTAATTACTTCTATTTTTATGAATGTTTAAGTTACTTTTACTCTTATTTTTTTTAAAAAATAATGTAGCTATGTAGAAATATAGTCTAATCGACCCTGTTTGAAAAACGTTAAATATAATATTTAAAATACAGTTGTCCTCCTTGTACATGTATACAATACAATTACAAAAACTAATTTAATAAAAAAAAACAAGTGGTTGTAGAAAAACTTTAAATATAATTTTTTTAATTTTTTAACATCGAAACTCAAAGGTATAATAACAAGTATCATACCAACCATAAATAGAGTAGGTATGTCATATAAAAATGTTTTGAGTTTTTACTAGAATCGACCCTTGATAAAAAACTAAAAAAAGGGATTAGATTTAAGTTTACCTTTGATCCAGTCTGTATACTATTTCTTTGGATTTTCTGCACGTGTGCAAAAACTACATTAAAACACTATATCTTATAGAAAATAAAATATTGTACCTTGAATTTGAGGGATTTCATCTGAAAAATTATTAATTTGGAAGAAAACCGACAACAAGCGGCAGAAAATAATAATATTTCCGTGCAGTCTTCTGGTCGCAACAACCAACGGACAGCCAGGACGTTAGTGTGCGCTATACCGCTATATCATTTGAATTAATGGTTTTATAGGTAGCTGCGGCCTGGCCGGTGCGACCTGGTCGTCAGTGTGTTCGAGCCCTTAATAAAATAATAAAATTGCCGAAAAAATGTCAACATAAAAAAGAGCATAATTGGGTGGTTTTTAGGTACAACAAAACTTCTCACCTTTATCACGTCAATGATCAAAAGCAAAAATGGACTCAGGCAGTTCGACGAAACGAGTGAGTAAACAAAGTGCCCGTTACATATCAAAATTTCGTTATAGTACAGATAGCCTTAGTTAAAAACTAGTAAAAACGACGATCGCTACCGTAGTTGAAGCAGCCGGCATGTTATTACTAATTTAAAAAAAATATTAGCTTAAATAATAAATTATAATACACGTTAGACCTTCTAAATATATCAAAAGATATATATTTTTAATTTTTACAACTTGCACTTACTAATACTTTTCACATAATATTATTACAAATTTTTCGTGTACTCGCCGCAATTTAAACTCATGTATTTGATTGGTCGGCTGTTTACGGTATTCTCCGATGGTGGCAGCATCATCGGTGGAGAATGCACCAAGCCTATACAAATCTTTTTATAAATTTACTAGATATTATTAAAAAAACAAAATAACATAAGCATAAATATTAGTAAAGAAAAAAAAAAAAGGATTAGAGAATAAAAAAGAAGATAACAGATTTTTTAAACGCTCAAGTTGGTTTTATGTCAATGATCTGATAAAACCTGTAGATCATCACGTAGAATATATAACGTATGATCAAAGAAAAAAACGTTTTTATAACATAAAAATGTACAAAATCTCTGTATAAAAATTTATTTTATTTGAAAAAAATAATTATTAAATGAATGACAATTACCAATACAAATGCTGTTACTTGTGCTTCTGTATGGCATTTGACAATTTTTTGTATTGTTTTTATAATATGCAATAATATTAATAAAAATATATTTCTCATATCAGGATTTATTTATTTTTAATTAAAAGTGTAAAAAACAATTTTCTAGCTCTATTTAATTTGAAAACAATAATTATATTTGAAGATTAAATAAAATAATTGAAAAATTTTAATAGCCTTAGAAATAAAATGGTGTAAAAACGTATTGTACAAAACATGTTATGCAAAATATCTAATATTAAACGGTTTTACGAGAAATTTTCAATGCTAGATATAAAAAAGGTTGGCCAACATTTGCAGTGCTAGTTACAAAAACAAAATCCCTAGTTTCAGGACACTTAAATTAATCCACTTTAGATAAATTAATACAGTGTGATTTTGTATTGACCAGCTAATTTTATTAGCACATATCTGCGATTTAATCTATTCAACAATTTTATATATTTTTTTGTGGATATTGCTAATAACGTAGATATTTTTATACGTCTAGAATATAAGCGTTTAATGGTAGATACTTTATTACCTCTATTATGTTTTTTTATTCAGGAAAAGCATAATAAAAAGTATAATATAAGCTTATTGTCTTATTTAATATTCAGAAAAATAAAGTAATATAAAATGATATTAACAATTTTTAGATGTCAATTTCATATATTTTCTTTAATTCCAACAGATGTAAGTGTCTATAAAAATAGAACTTTATAATTTAATTTACTAGATACTGTGTATGTTATTATTTAGATTTTTTAGAAGATATATTTTTTTAACAATACAATTTTTTTACATTTTTTGAAAAATTAATAAATTGTTTTTTTTTGCTAATTATTATTTTTTTTGTGTAGGTAAATCTACTAGATTCGACAGGAATAAAGCACAGAAATATAAAAAGTATACCTTTCTAATATACCTTACTATAGAAAATTATAGTACACCAGAGAATGTTACAGAATTATCTAATTAAAACAATGTTATCTTGTATGAAACTTAACTAGCAATAACTCTGTATAATATAAAAAATATTTTCTATTTTCTTATTATTTATAAAGTGTTTTAGATAAGAGTGGAAATTTAATTATTTATATTTATAGTAATGAAAAAATAATAGTAGCTATAGTAATTTTTTTTCTCAATTTTTATATTATTATTATATACAGGGTGCTACAAATTCGAGGTACGAGCATTGGTATCTCGGTAACCGTAATAGATACGAACATGGTTAACTTGGGGCAAAGTTGCATATTCGAATGTTCACCAAAATGCCATCAAAAGAGATTTAAAAATTTCAAGGATTGCTGATTTTTTTGGAAAAAAACTGATTTTTTTGAAAATCAATTTTATTTTTTCCTGTCGATACTTTTTAGACAATCAAAAAATTAATTGCACATTCTCATAGCCACTTTATTAGAGCTATCTGACAGTATTATTAGATTTTCAAATTAGCTGATAATTTGTGAGATACAGAGGCCAACTTATTTTTTTTTTAAATACGGACCTGCATTTTTTATTTCAGATTTTGAAAGAACTCAGTCTTCTGAATACAATGATATGCCACATTTTATACATTTTTTATTTTGGATACCTACAGCAACAAAACTATTTAATTATTATTTAAAATAATAAGCCCGACTCTGGTTTCTTAAATTATTTAATCTGATTATATTCATCGCAGCAATAATGATCAGGGCTAATTAACAGTGAATAAGGAAAATCGAGTCAATTGGAAGATTCAAATAAATAATATCCACATCAGAAATTTAAAGATATTATTTTTAACTCTTTTTATTGTGAATTGGAAATCTCTGTGTGCGATCTAATAATATGCATATATTAATCGTAGTTATTATAAATAAATCAACTTCTACAAATTAGTTTCTAATGTTCTACATGTTCGAAAGGGCTGCCACCCTCCCTATTGCACAAATTTATTTTTCGCTTAATTTTATTTATAGCTCTTTGAACTTTTTTCTGATACTTCCGAATGCATTTTGTACTCTTTATGTTAATGTTGAGATGAATTAATTTAACTTTTTTACAAATGACGTCAAATAATGTAGCACCTTAGCGATAGGTCCAGGAACCTCGCTGGACATTATACTGCTCTACCATTTCCAATCCATCTTCCGGAAAATGATTTGATTGTTTATTTTATATTATATTTATATTAATTATTTTATATTATTTTATTGCATTTGATTTTCCGTATTCAATGTTTCCCCCACGCCATTCTCAAGTTTGAAAGCTTATCAATATTGTAACGATGAAAAGATTAAATATTTAAAAAAAAACAGAGCCGGACTTGAAATTAGTTTAAATAAATTGTGTTCAAATGTCAAAACAAAAAAAAATATTAAGTGTGGCATGTCATTGTACTCAGGAGACTGAGTTCTTTCAAAATCTGAAATAAAAAATGAGGTCCGTAATTAAAAAAATTAAGTTAGCCTTTGTATCTCAAAAATTATCAACTAATTTGAAAATATAAAAATACTATCAGATAGCCCTAATAAAGTGGCTATGAGAATGTGTAATTAGTTTTTTGATTTTCTAAAATGTAACGACAGGAAAAAATAGAATTGATTTTCAAAAAAATCAGTTTTTTCCAAAAAACTCAGCAATCTTTGAAATTTTTAAAAATTTTTTGTTGGCGTCTTGGTGGACACCCCAAAGCGCAACTTTGTCTCAATTTAACCATGTTCGTATCTATTACGGTTAACGAGATACCAATGCTCGTACCTCGAATTTGTAGTATGTATACTGTACTGCATCGAAAAAAAACATCTTCCAGTTAGCTTGGAAATGACGATCAATGACATTCTCCATATAATTCAACATATAAAATGACAGCGAACTTCATATCATAGCCATCGCTGACCTCGTCTTTTTTTCGATCATATTGTATTAATTACATATTTTTCGTTTTTAACAGTTGTGTTCCTATTTTTCACTGCTTGTGAATTAAATTTTATTTTTAATTTTGTTATAAATAAATATAATTCTATTAAACAATCCTTGTTTGTACCCAACATTACAAATAAAAAAACTCCTATACATTAAATAAAATAAAGTATATGATAGGTAGGTATATATTTTAAATTCTATAAATAGGTATAATTTTATAAAATTAGTTATTACATGTAAGTTAATCATTTTATAGACTTGGTGCATTTTCCGCCGGTGCCGTGAAGAATATCGTAAACAACCGGCATATACAAATACTCGGGTTTAAATTAATATATACCTAATTATATATAAAATTATTATATAATTATCCTAACGGTGTTAGGAAGTATAATTTGTAAAAATTCTAAAAAGAAAAAGTAAATATTTTGGTATCTTCAGAAGGTCTAACTTGTATTATAATTTATTATAATAAAACTTTTTAAATGAGTTCAACTACGGTAGCTAGCATAGTTTTACACAGATTTTGCTAGCTGAGACATAACTGGGGCTATTCCGGTTATAACAATTTTTTTTAAAGTACATAATTATAATTTTAGAAGATATTCATAAAAAAAATTAAGCACTACTTGATTAAAGCCAGTATACCATTAACATTACAAATTATAATTTATCCTCTTATAGTATATGCCTATTTAATTTTTTGATTATGGAATAGGCACTTTGTTTACTCACTTGCTTCGTCGAACTGTTTGAATCCATTTTTGCTTTTGATCAAATCGGTGTGAGAAGTTGTGAAGCTATACAATGTTGTTTCGGGAGAATTGAATGCCCGGGAAAGTTGAGTTATTGAATGTTATTGCACCCAACAACTACGTAAATACGCCCTCCTTTACGTGTTAACATTTTTTCGGCAATTTTATTAACATTTGGAATTGTCACAACACAAAGCGATGCCGAGTTCGGGTTGGTTTTCACTTAATTTTTACTCGTACTTGTGTGTTTTATAGTTTCAATAACTGCACTATTAAAAACTAAAATACTTAAATATTATGGCCACGATTTTAATTTTATTTCAATGCTATCAACATCGGAACTGCGTGAAATACAGAGCCGAAAGCTTCTGATTTCTGCCGTATAGAGCGCTGCGGTCGGAATTTTTAAAATCAACTGAAATGCACCAAGCCTATACCCTATTTATATCAGAATCATTATATGACAAGTATGTATATAATATTTTAAAAAGAAGTTAATTAGAATTATATTATATTTTGTAATCATTATTCTTTAACTGCGCCTATTAGCAGAATACAATATGAGGTATAATAAAAGTTTTCACACTTACATACATGCTTTATTTAGTGAGCTCAATTTCTCTTTACACCAATATAAATATCACAATATATAGATAGGTACACAACAATAATGATAAATAGATAAAGAACACTGTACTTATAGTAGTTCCAGTTAACGAAAACATTTTCTCTAAATATTACAATAAACTTTTTGAGACCACATATTAACAGTTCTGGGGAGAATGATAGACAGATGCTCATATTCATTAAATTAAAAAATGCATTTGGTCCTCTATCAAAACTAAATCTAAATGTATGTATTTACGAGTATAGTTTCAATCATACATCACAAAAATGGAATAAAATATTCTTTGTTAGAACAGTACTAAAATTTTCAACATTTTTTTAGCTATTGGAACCAACAATACATAAAATTATAATTAATTGTTATCTCTAGATATTACAATTGTATTTTGAGACCACAAATGAATAGTTTTTAAGAGAATGATAGACTCATATTCTTATTAATTAAATTACCAAATCTTAAAAGCATTTTTTCCCTTTCTAAAATAATTTTAAATGTATGTATTTGCAGTTTCAGTCATACTTTACTACAATGAAGAAATATTTTTTTTGTCAGAGCAATGTGTTATACGTATTTTCCAACAGTTATAGCTATTATGGAACCATAAAATTTTGATTACTTGTATACAAAACCAAGGTTCTTAGTAAACTGTATTTTCCATTCAGGAGGACAATTCGAAAAGCAGCAAATCTTTGACAAAAAATAGAACATCTCAAATGAAGGGCCCAGGGTTCCACATGATAAACGCCATTTTACTAATTTTACAGGAGAGTACTGGACTGGAAATTGGGGAGTACTGGAGTACTGGACGTATTCTATATTTCTACTACCATCATAGGATTTAACAGCTTATTGCCCTGCAGAGTTTATATATACATTTTGTAGGGACCACTTACACCTACTATAATAATGTAAAATTCTAATATTAAGAAATTGACGCTTATCAAGTGTTTCCCCTGAACCCTTCAGATAGTATTGGGGTATTGCAAACATTGTTTTCCCAGATGTGTATTTGAGACCATTGTGAGAATTTTTTTGTCCAAAGTCAGAATTACTGAAGTAATTTTAATTACTCAAAGTAATTTTAAAACTTTGAAACACTGATATCTTAAAAACTGCAAGTACGATTTAAAATTGTGTTAAAAGACTATAATCAGAGAAAGCAACGAACTTTTTAAATGACGACACAAGGCGGGTTTGCATTAAAAGAACAGTAGAAAGCAATCTTCTGAGGTTTGAGGGAGGACGAGTCAAACTGTACCTCTTTATTGTTTTCCCCCTCGTTCCTCTCCTTTATATTCGTTTGAGATATCCCCGGTAGTACTTTATGTGTAAGAGATATTCTGGATTGAAAATAAAAGAATTTCGGACTTCCTTGTCTTTATTTATTTTTTTGATTAACACAACGTTTCAGTCATAAAAATTAATGACCGTTATCAAGTGTAAACTAAACTAATTCCTAAAACAACTGAGCTTTTTGTACTACTGAAAAGTTGGGTGCAGTCAACCGCGAGGTTGTCAATTTAGAATGCCTGCATTGAAGCGTTTTATCAGTGGTTGCCATATCGTAGATATTTCGGTACTCGGGTTGGCTAAAATGTTATTATTGTTTGCTATAAACAATTTACGCTTTTTCCAATGAAGTTCCCTGTGGAGAATCCCACCTTCCGATCACTTAATGATAGGCGCACACTGACCAGAGCCGCACACGCCGCATCGACCGAAGAAAAATATTGTTTACGTTTATTTCAATGAAGATGCGCACACTAGCCAGAGCCGCACGAATCGCATCGACGAAAATGCGGCCAGCATTGTTGGGCCAGAATGATTTTCGGTAAATGCGGCTAGTGCTGCTGACGTCACACGCAATTCCTTCCACTCTACGTAGGTAGCCGAAGAGGAGATTAGAGGTATGCGCACACTGACCAGCGCCAGCGCCGCACTCGCCGCACTCTCCGCACGCGCCGCACGCGCCGCTCGAGCGCACTTTTTTTTCTTGTCGCGCACACTGACCCGTACCGAACGCGCCGCACGCGCCGAATTACTTGCTATTTTGTTTCTTTCTACCCCTACTATACCAACTTTACCAATCGAATTTCTCATCAGTCGCTTCTGGGGTCCTGTCTGCGGTAATAAGCGTGTTTTTTTAATATTTCTCGACAATGAATGACAACGAACAAGAAATAATTATGAGCTCCTTGCTAATAGGAGAAGAAGAAATCACGAGAAAGAATCGAAAGTTATAGGTTCACAATATTTGTAAATATCCACATTTCCATATTTAATTGAGCATGAACTAAATTTTTTTTAATATTTAAATATGAGCCATGAAAAATTTGCGAACTTTCTTAGCATATTGATTTTCTAATCTCCTCTTCCGCTACCTACGCAGAGTGGAAGGAATTGCGTGTGACGCCAGCAGCACTAGCCGCACTCGAAAATCATTCTAGCCCAACAATGCTGGCCGCATTTTCGTCGAAGCGATTCGTGCGGCTTTGGCTAGTGTGCGCACCTTCATTGAAAGAAACATAAACAATATTTTTTTTCGGTCCATGCGGCGCGTGCGGCTCTGGTCAGTGTGCGCTTACCTTTAGAGGACATTTAATCTCTCCAATATACGACTTACCGAATTCAGAAGGTACCTGGTAGATACACTCTTTCTCTTGTTTCAGTGAGTCCGGCCTTGTATTTCCTTCTGATCGAAACGTTATGTTAATCAAAATAAATAAAGATGATGGAAGTCCGAAATTCTTTTATTTTTAATACTGAATTATTGTCTACCGAATTAAAAAAAACATATTCTGGATTGCTCTTGACTTTTTAAACGTCCACCCTATACATTTTTCAGTAACTACAGAATTAGAATTATTGGAGGTAAAATAGATTGGCCAATGATAAAGTATATTCCTACGTTTAAAAGTGGAAGTTATATAGTTATCTTTATTTAACTAACATCGTCGATTAGAATCCTTATAATACATTACTTACGTTTATTTAATATAGTCTATTAACTTACATAAAATTGCAAAGATCACATACACACGAACCATAGCGACAAATAATGAAAACCAAAAGCTAGTAGGTAGAACTTACTTTGTCGCTCAAAAGTTTTTCGTGAGTTTCACTCTCGGTACCATCCGTTTCACTCACGGTTTTACTATCACTAACCGGTTCGGAGATAAATGGTACCGCTCCATTGATATAATCCGAACCGAGGTTCTTGGAGTTCTGCTTCGGCCATTTCAGTCTTCTGGGTTGATCCACCACTATTTGTGGTTCTGGATCCTTCTTCCTTTCTGGCAAAGGGTCGATTGTTACAATCGCACGCCCAGCTGAAAGAAAGAATTGAAACTATAATATTTGTACTCAATAAATACATTTAAAAATATGATTCTAAAAATTTTCTAATTTAATAAGCGAAGCAACATAGAAGAAGAAGAAGAAGAAGAAGAAGAAGAAGAAGAAGAAGAAGAAGAAGAAGAAGAAGAAGAAGAAGAAGAAGAAGAAGAAGAAGAAGAAGAAGAAGAAGAAGAAGAAGAAGAAGAAGAAGAAGAAGAAGAAGAAGAAGAAGAAGAAGAAGAAGAAGAAGAAGAAGAAGAAGAAGAAGAAGAAGAAGAAGAAGAAGAAGAAGAAGAAGAAGAAGAAGAAGAAGAAGAAGAAGAAGAAGAAGAAGAAGAAGAAGAAGAAGAAGAAGAAGAAACATCTACATAACCATTTACAATTATTATTATTGTAAAGTATACCCAAATAATAGATATTTCAAATTAGCAGATAATAATGATATGAGTTATCGGAAAAATTTTTGTCTCTTACAATAATATGTAAGTACGAAAATATATAATATTGAGTACGAAATGTTTGAAGTATGCCTGCGTATATATTCGTAAATGTATAACATACCAAGCACCTGGTTTGTGATATACGATATTTCTGTAAACCTGTCTAAAACAATGATTTATAGCTGACGATAACATATGAAATAAATCAAACAAGTTTGTAAATTTAAAAATACAAGCTAGTCTATACTACCCGACTAAACTTACGCAATGTCTTAAAATTTGTTGATATACCGTATTATAAAAAAGGGCGTCAAAGACTGCAGGTGAATGACAATTGATGATAATTTTGGCGAGGTCAATTTCTAGACGTCATTTACAAAAAATACAGCTTGTCAAATATTAACACTAATTATAGAAAGATTAAAAAAAGGTAGAATATTTCCGGAGAAAAATCTATTTCCAAAAAAAAATTTCTTGAATTTTAATCAACAACAATTAAAAATGACTTTTACTCAATATAAAAATAAATTACAACCTATTTAAGGCCATCTGGCAGTAAGAGCTATTGTCCCCAGCCGTTCTTGATGCCGTTTTTTTATCGTATGGTATAATATTTTGAAAGAATATGAATTATTACTTTATATACTATTTTTATAAAAAAAAATAACACAAAAATTATCTTGCTTTTACTTCCCAAGAATATTGTTAGATAGAGCAGTGTATCTACTTAGTTTTTCAAAGGAAATTTATAACATGTGATAATACAAAATAATTCAAAAAGTCTGTAAAGTAAGTATACCTCAATTAATCCAGTTGGTTAGGATAAAAATAAGAAAAATAAATTAAATATTAACTTGCTAATGTAGTACCTAGTATATACCGGGTGCGTCTCAAAAGTGGCTCGCCTCTTTTCACCAAACCAAACTATAACTTTAATATTTTTTTATATAAAAAAACGAGATTTGGTACGTTAGTATATAACATAACTTTGGATTGATTGATGTATTCTATTGTTCCTGATCACTTTAGGAAGTGAGGAAATGACTACAAATTTTGATTTTTAAATGGCACCATCGGTATTTTTTTTTACTTCATTCGATAGAAAATCACGCTCTGTGAATAGAATGATATATCATATAACTTTTGACATATTCGCTTAAAAAACATAGTGTTTTAAGTTTCAATCAAGAGTGTGGTAAAAACAATAATTTTTAATGAAGGAGCCTTGGAAAAATATCTTTGATCGTCTAATGTTTTTAGTGTCTTGTCTTGGCTGGTTAAAATATATCCGAATTTGAAAAACGCATTTTTTACGAATAATTTGCTATCACACACTTAGTATTTCGTGTTAAATTGTCGTTACGAACCGCATGTTACAATTTCAAATAAACCATCTGCCAATATGTCATTCTATTCAGAGTATTCAGAGTGTTATTTTATTTTCTATCGGATAAATTAAAAAAATACCGAAGTGCCATTTAAAAATCAAAAGTTGTAGTCATTTCAGGTTAAACAGGAAGTGACCAGGAACAATGGAATATGTCAATCAATCCTAATTTATATCATATACTAACATACCAAGTGAGTCACTTTTGAGCCCGTACCTTGTATTAATAGGAAAGTACAAATATTAGCACAAACTCAATTTACTGCGTATAAAGCTCTGAGTATTTTATCTAAATGATTTTAGAATTATTTAATTTAACTTAGATTAGATTTTACTTTGGAAATTATCAAAATTTAACATTGAAGTATACAGTAAGTATGTCCCCGGAGCGGGCCCGGAGTATCTTTACAAGAGGAATAACTTTTGTGTTATTGACATTTTGAAAAAAATGCATTCTTCATAAAAAAAATTGCTTGTTCTAAAATGGTTAATCCCATTTATACGTTTCCAAGTTTCAATACCGGTTTCAATACCAACAAAAAGAAGACATGAAATTATTGTTGAAGTTCTAAAAATCCAAAAGATGTTTCTATTATACAGGGTGAGTCTTAAATAAATGCAAATATTTTCAGGGATGATAGATCTCGATAAAAAAACATACTTTCCCTTTACATTTTTTCCAATAAGTTCAAAATAACCGAGATATTGCACTAATATCAACTAAAATTTAAAAAAAAAAATTTCTCTTAAATTTCAAGAACCACTGCACTGGACCTTTCTTTGGGTTTCTTTCTTCAAAATTTAATTTACTAGAACTCAAAAAGTAAGAAAATTAAGTTAACTTTTATCCACAAATTGTTAGTGGTCGGTTAGCCGTAATGTAATAAAAAGATCTGTCAGGCATAAATTAACTATGACACATTATTTTATAGCTATTTATGTAACTAGTACCTAAAATGATGTTTTTTAGGACGAATCATTACTGTTTGCGGACGAGGCGTTAGCCGAGTCCGAAATAGTAGATGAGTCCTAAAAAACATAATTTAGGTACGTGTTACATACACTATTTTTTGTCATACGCTTTTTACAGTTTTTTAGAACGCATATTTGCAAATTTTCCATATTTGAAATTATAATGTTTGAAAAAGTTGGCTTATAAATTCATATCTTAGTAACGAGTTTGTTTATTTCATCGCATTTTGACATGTCATTCGAAATTTGTCACAAAATCACACAAATTCATCAACAATTTTAAAATGTTCCAAAATCCCGAACATATTGCTAATAAGGCCAAAGAAATCGTGTTGGATTTACTTCCTGTGAAGTCTCGTGCCATTTACCAGAAAGAATATGATGTTTTTAATGAATGGAAAGACAAAAATGGCGTATTCGTTGTAAATGAAGATGTATTGCTAAATTATTTCCACGAAAAAGTAAGTACCTAGGTACCTATTTAAAGAGGCTTTTAAATTAAAATATTCTTAAATTACAGTCACAAACATTCAAACCATCGTCAATTTGGTCGAAATATTCCATGCTGAGAGCAGTGTTAAGTGTTAAAGAAGATATTTATATTGACAAATTTCCAAAACTTATTGCTTTTTGAAGAGGAATTCGGTTGGTTACGAGCCTAAAAAGTCTAAGGTTTTGTCCATAAAAGAGATCGGTGATTTTTGGCCACGGCTAGTGATGAAACTTATTTACTTACTAAGGTAAGTTTGCGATAATGATTTTTAAAATATATAGATGGTTTCTTATTCCATTGTATTTGATTTTTAGGTAGCTCTTGTCATTGGCCTTTGTGGAGCATGTAGAAGAGAAGAATTGTACTCTCTACGAGTGCAAGACATCATAGAAAAAGACAACAGCTGCCTTTTAGTTACCCTTGCGGATACAAAAACTAATATCAAAAGAGTGTTTCCGGTGGTGAACGAAGGGAACGTTGTCAATCCAGTTGAGTTGTATAGAAAATATGCTTGTCTTAGGCCAAAAAATGTACCACATGATTATGTCTTCATCTCTTATCGTAAAGGAAAATGCACCGTGCAACGAGTCGGCATTCATTCATTTGGGAAGATGCCATCGATTGTAGCAGCATTTTTAAAGTTGTCGAACCCAAACGAATATACAGGTCATTGTTTCCGACGTAGTTCTGCTACTCTTGCTGCAGATGCAGATGTGGATTTTACATCGCTGAAACGCCTAGGAGGTTGGAGGTAAAAATTTTAATATTTTCCGATCTTGTTCTAAACAACAATAATTATTTAGGTCGTCCACAGTGGCCGAAGGTTACATAGAAGAATCTATTGAGAAAAAGAAGAAAGTTTGCAAACTGCTAATGGGGGAAAAGAAAATCGCGACCACTTCCACGGATGTATTACCAAGTACATCATCGTTCGCATTTACTCCACCTCATCAGAAAGTAAATTTACCTGCCAATGGAGGAGTCGTTTCGATTGCAGATGCAAGTTTTCAAAATGCACAAAATTGTTCATTTCATTTTTATTTTTCCAAATAACTTAGCTTTTGATATTGTTAGTATTTAATAATTTAAAAATCAAATACAATGGAATAAGAAACCATCTATATATTTTAAAAATCATTATCGCAAACTTACCTTAGTAAGTAAATAAGTTTCATCACTAGCCGTGGCCAAAAAATCACCGATCTCTTTTATGGACAAAACCTTAGACTTTTTAGGCTCGTAACCAACCGAATTCCTCTTCAAAAAAGCAAAAGTTTTGGAAATTTGTCAATATAAATATCTTCTTTAACACTTAACACTGCTCTCAGCATGGAATATTTCGACCAAATTGACGATGGTTTGAATGTTTGTGACTGTAATTTAAGAATATTTTAATTTAAAAGCCTCTTTTAAATAGGTACCTAGGTACTTACTTTAAACAAATAACTTAGCTTTTGATATTGTTAGTATTTAATAATTTAATTATAAATATATGTATAATTTTATGTGATTTTGTGACAAATTTCGAATGACAAAATAAAACAACCAAATAACGAATTTAGACATTTTAGTCCATAAAGGTTGCCATGACGACCTTTACGGCCTAGGCCGAAAAAGAAACATTTTACGGACTGAAATGAGTCCGTAAAATAGCTGTTTTTGGGAGCGTATGACAAAAAATCTATTTTTAGGATGTCTTTTAGTTATAATGAAAACTGTAATCAGAAAACTATAAAACGAGGAGTGTCTCTCTATTGGAATTACATGTACATTTTTTGGAAGTCGCTGGCAGTCATTGTCAGTCTTACGGCAAGCGGATTATACATGGCAGTCATAGGTAGTCTTCTTCGTAGTCTTGGCACTCATAATTATCATCAAGCATATTTAAAAATAAAGTTATACAATATTTGTTAAATAGAAACCACGCTGTATGATTATATGCATTATATGTATGTTTTTCTCTGCTGCTTACTACTGTATTAATCTATAAAAATATAATCAATTTGTAAATTTCATAATTTACAAATTGTTTAATTTTACAAATTTCAATTTGTTATTTTCTTTTTGTTTAGTATAATAATATAATCAATTTGTATAGGGTGGTCGAAATTGGTCTGTTTTAACAGGGAAAACCTCTTTTCTGACTAGATAGAGCAAAACCGACATAGATGTCATGGGCTCGATTTCTGAGATACGAATGATGGCGTAAACCACCTGTTGATATTTTCACTGCTGACTGAGATACGGGGTCTTTTTTAATTTTTAACCATTTGGAAAATTGCCATAACTTTTGTATTTCGCGGAATAATAAAATACTGTAAAAACGTTCTTAAGGCACTTTTTTAAGCACAATCCAGTGGCATAGTCAGTTTTTTCTATACTTACTTTTTTTGTCAGAAATAATAAAAAATATAATTTTTTAAATGGAAATCATAGTTGGCTATGAACATAAAAAAATGCTGGCGTTTAACCCTTTTCAACGATATAAAGTTATGTGTATTTATTTCTAAAGATGAGAGAAATATTACGTGTGTTTTTTATCTTTGTGTCGAAGCGGGCCTTGATTTTGTGTTGACCTATAGTTGCTTAATTATTTTTTATCACAATTTAATATTCTATATTATCATTTATCTGCATAATTAAAGAATTTTGAAAAGGTAAATCAACATTCTATAGTAGTACCTATTACCATTTACAATTGAAACGCCAGGGTTACAACTGCACTATTGAATGGAGAATTTAGAGAGAATTGGATTGGAAAAAAGGGCCTCATATCTTGGCCCCCATATCTAGGCCCTCTAGGTTCTGTAATTTAACTCCTTTCAACTTTTTTATGGGGGAAATTAAAAGACCTTATCTATAAGGGAAGAACCACTGGGACGAGAGAAGAATTGCAGAAGATATTATATAGGCAAGCTTTTGGACTTATTACACTAGTTCGCCTAATAAATCGTTGTGCGTAAACATCTTTGATGATTTTTTTTAGAAACCTATATTCGCCACACAAAAAATACGTTTTTTTAGTTTTGTTCTTTGTTTATTGTTTCGATTTTAATTATAATTACTAATACTAATATAGAAAGTTAATTTACCTTTCCAAAAGTCTTTAATTATGCAGATAAATAATAATATTGAATATTAAATTGTGATAAAAAATAATTAGGCACATAGGTCAACACAAAATCAAGGCCCGCTTCGATATAGAGATAAAAAATCTAATATTTCTCTCATTCTTAGAAATAGATACCCCTAACTTTATATTATTGAAAAGGGTTAAATGCCAGCATTTTTTTAAGTTCACAGCCAACTATGATTTCCATTTAAAAAATTATATTTTTCATTATTTGTGACAAAAAGAGCAAACATAGGAAAAAACTGACTATGCCACTGGATTGTGCTTAAAAAAGTGCCTTAAGAACGTTTTTACAGAATTTTATTATTCCGTAAAATAAAAAAGTTATGAACAATTTTCAAAATGGTAAAAAATTCAAGTGGTAGAATACTCTCTAGCTAAACTTGTCCCAATATCATTCGTTTCAATTTTTGAAATAAGTGAATAAAGACGTATACCACCTCTAAAAATATTTCCACTCATTTAAGACTCACCCTGTATAGTTAGATAAGTAATTTATATAAGTTTAATTAACGTCATATTCTTTGCTGTTTTAAAATGTCAAAGAAGCACAAAATTTAGAGTTTTAATGCTATGGAAAGGGTAATAATAGTTATCGGAAAATGTGATAATTTAACAGCAAAAAATATGACGTTAATCAAAATGAATAATAACTACCTATCAAAGAATAGAATCGAAATTATATTACCATAAAAAAAATGTCTATACCTATGTTGCGGATTCATCTCCAAAAAAATTCTATATGGATATTTAGCCACTGCAAGAAAACCTACAAAATGAAATAGTTATTTTTTGTAAACACCGCTGCGTTAATCCAATGGTAATTATATTACCATAGAAACGCCGTTGGATTTTTAGGACTTTCGAAAAAGGAAAAAATCCCACAACATCCAGAACAAGCAAACATTTTTATGAAGAATGCATTTTTCTCAAAATGTCAATACCGAAAAAGTTTTTCCTCTTGTAAGAACAATCCAGGGACATACTGTATATACAAAATATGCTGGTTTAAATCAAATAAAAATATATAGGGATATTTTATACTTTTACTTAAAATAAGCAAATTTGCAGCTACTTGACTAACCCAAAATGCCAGAAGTAGTAATGCCCTTAACACAATCAGACTTGTATGAAATTAAGATTCTAAATAACTTTAAATCAATAGGTTCTTTTAAGAACTAATTTATTTGAGCCTACATTATAAATTTTATTTCTTTACATATTTTATTCTAGCACACAACGATGTTTTAAATAATTTTACGTATCCCTCCCCTTAAGCTTTCTTGGACTGTGCAAAAATAGACAAAACACGTAATTCAATAAAGCAACAAAAATTCAATATCACAACTGCATTTTAACTGCTTTCCCTTTTTATTACTTTATTATCTTACCTATCACAGATACGCTATCGTAGAAAGCCATGTTGTCAAACATGTTGTTGTTTTTTTCGTTTGACTTTTTTACGGGCTCTTCGTACGTAGCTATACTTTCGTCGAAGCAGAATTTTTCTTCGATTAGGTTCCAGTAACATGTTTCTAGGCAGCTGAAAAGAAAAAGAAACATTTTCTATTACAATTTTTCATAAATACAGGGTGGCTCATTCGCCTCGGTTGATTATACGAAAACGGAAAGATTTAGAAACAAAATATTTTATGGGTATGTGTAGAGAGACAATGTACATAATTTAAAATTATTTTGAAATGTACAGGTTGTGTCAGAACTAAGATCCATACCAAAATTATATTTTTTCTTATGGAACACCCGGTATTTTCTTTCATTTTTGGATTCTTGGACATAACATAAGGCATTTATTATAAGGGTTTAATATGTCTAAAAGCTTTGGTTTTTGAGATATTTAAAGATATTTAAATATGCATGCTATAGTAAAAATTAATATATAAATTAATAATATAAAAATATTAAATCATTATCAAATGTAATTTATTGTGCTGTCTGCACTAACTTCGTTGTAGTACCTACTCGTGTTCCCGAAATGTATTTTTTTTTTTAATTTTAAACTGGTTCGAATGAGGCAAATGTATAACGTTTAGAAAATACAATTTGACATTGACAAAATTATAAGTTGACTTGAGGTACGTTGGAATTTACCTGGTTTTGCATTGTTACCTGTTTTGGTAACAATTGTACACTTTTAATTTAAAAATAGATGCGGTCTTTCTTAAATTACTTAAAATCGGCTTGTCCAAAATTGTTCAAATTTGGCATGTGTATTCAGCATACGCAGACGTTTAAAAAACCTAGTTACAACTTTACTGTAAAATTAATAGGGGAGTCAATATTTGGACAGCTCAAAATTTACATGGGATTTCCTTCATCAATAGCTAACCTGAATGGTAAAAGTTTCGAACAAAAATATATAGGTATTTTAATGTGTACAAAAAGGAATTATTGTACTTTAAGTGTAGATTTTTGAAAATCTCATAAAATTTTAATGACATTTATATACAGAGTGAGTTTTCAACGGTATTCTGTATGGGTATCTTGGGAATTACTGGAGCTGGAGAGTTGGTCAAATGGGGAAAGAATTGGAGTTTTCTGAGGAAGAACATAATTTATCGCTTACTAGATATTTGAAAAAAAAAACAAATTTTGGCGATTCTAAAAATTCTCCCAAATTGCATTATAATCTATTTTAGACAAAAAAAACTGGATAAAAGTTGTAGAAAATCATATCCTTAATGAGACTGTGGCGTCCGTTTTTTCTAAAACTTGTCATTTTTGACATATGCCACAAACGTATGTTTTTTATTAAATGGAAACTATAGTTGGCCATGGTTTCATAACAAGTGTAATTTTTAAAGCTTTCCAGCAATATAAGCGATAATATGTTTTTCAAGTCTTATATTTTTTGACTGGTTTCATTTAGTTGGCATGGTAATCTTATTATTCTATTATCATTTATAACTTGTAAAAAGACAGACTATTTTATTAAACTGTTCCTTAAAATTTACATTAAACAAATTAAAACTTAAAAAACTAATATCACTACGTGCACTTATTTAAGAAATGTTAAAAAATCCGCCATTGTTTTGGATATATAAAATACATCATTTTTAAACTGAACTACAAGCTTTTCTCACAGAGCGGCGGTCGACATTTATTAGTAAACTTCTCCCCTATCGTCTCTTCGAGTGAATTCATAAGCTCTCCTTGTTGTTGTAAACCTTGTTGTTAAGCGCACCGCATAAAAAAATCTAAAACGGATAGGTTAGGTGACCGAGGAGGTCAACGCAATTAGTCCACCTCTTTCTATCCCTGGGTTTGCATAATTATGATAAAATAATTTGAACATTTATATATTTATGAGGGGGGCCTCATATTTTTAATTGAAATCTTGTTGTCTAAAATAGATTATAATGGAATAATTAGAGAGCATTTTTAAAATAGCCGAAATTTGGTTTTTAGAAATATCCGATGCCACCAAGTTTTTCAAAAATTCGAAAGGTGCATCTGTTTGTCTTCACAAAACTACAATTCTATCCCCATTTAACCGACTCTCTAGCTCTAGTAGTTTCCAAGAGATCCATAGAGAACAACGTAGAAAACTCACCATATTTGAACATAGATATATTTGAAAATTCGTGCCTTTAAAGCATGTCTAATAAGAGAAAAGACGATTTCGAGACAGACAGCATCCTAAAATGACAGGAACAAAGAATGCATCATAAAAAAAATAATTTTAAACATCCGCAACTTAGATAAAACTGCATTAAACGATTTATGGTACAAAAAATACATATCTTCGTCCCATCAAATTACAGTTAACATGACTTCACTGCACAATAACATTCACTAAGAGTTCAATCAACTACAGTAGTGGTTATCCAACCAAACCACATATAATGAGCAAAAAGAAATCCAAACTAGTGGGAGTGGAAAAGCACATGAAAACGTCTCGTTCCAATGCTAACACAAAGGCTGTCAACGCAATTGTGAATGCAGGTGAACAGGCAGACTCTAAACAGCAACATTATAAATTTAAGTGTATATGATATTATAACAATATTACCAACTTAAAGCGGAACTCAAGAACTTGGAAGACTTCATTCGTAACCTGGAATGAGAATTCTCCACTGGTCTAAAACACTCGAAAAAGTTTTTGAGAACTTTTGACCGATTTAAGCAAGAATCCTTGATTTAAGTAATAAAAATTTTCGGATTTTCACAAGGTTTCTAACAGGACACTGGTCTTCTCAACAAACACCTCAGTAGATAGAAGCTTAGAAACACGATTCTATTGGGAAAATGGGGAAACACCTTCTTACTGAGTGCGCCGAGACGACAATCGTTCGTGTCAAAGACTTTGGTACGCCTGACGTCGGAGATGAAGAGCTGGCTTCTGTAGCCCCGTCTCAGATACTGGTTTTTGTCAAAGCCCTGAGACTCTATGCCGGGGAACACACAATAGATCGCGGTGATTAACCTTCCTCCTAAACATTCTACATTCTACAACATTATAAATTTAAGTGTATATGAATATGATATTATAACATTATTACTGTTCAAGTTTTTTTAGTTGCAACCTAGGTGTTTTAAAGCAATTTGTAAAATCAATTTTGAAGAGAAGTCAAAATACTTTAATCTTGAACCAGCACTACAGCTAGGATTGTTGAGAAAAAAAATATAAAAAACTTAATTTTGTTTGCTCTTATTTTGTATAAAAGTATTGTTAAAAAATATATTTATTTAGAGTTATAAACAAAAAAAGAAACGCAAAAATTTCAGAATTTTTTGCAATTTGCCGTCACGAAATTTTGTTAGCAAACATAAAATTCAGTTTCAGCACCCAAAAAACATAAAGAACAAAATAAAAATCGGAACTACCCTAAAACTTCCTCACCAAAAATACAATTTGATTTGTTTTGATAGATTATATAATATTATAATCAAAATTACTTTAAACAATTAACTCTATAACCTGAATCTAAAGTAATTAATATATAGTTTTAAACATACCATTTCCAAGAAAACTGTTGTTTTTCGTATACCTTTGTAGTAGCCATTTTTGTTGTATATTATATTCTATTTAAATATTTAACTTTTCCAAATCAACTGTGAAATTAAGATGACCTCACATTAGATATTAACAATAATTTATAAAAAAATTCGGCCATATCCTAATGATAGTTAACGGAAACTGCAGAATAAAATCATTGATAAATAAATATCTAGACATGTTCTGGATGATCTTCATAATTTGAGAATGAATGTTAATTTAATTATCAGGAAAGGTAAAAAGTGTGAAATTCAGGTACAGAATTCTTATTATGATGTTATATCGATCAGTTTAATATCGTATAGCGGCAAGAAATTGTCTTGATTTGCAAATAAAAACATTTTTAAAAGTTTTGCTGTGATATACAGGGTCTGGCAATAGTGCGTCGGGGATCTGTAGCTCCTAGAATAAAAAACTTGGGAATTTTGTTTAAGTGCAAGCCTAAGGTATGTACTAAAATGTATTTGAGGAAAATATTTTAACTTCTATAGTGTGGCTCAAAAAAGTATGAGTGGATCGTAATGATTTATTTCTAAAATGGAACACCCAGTATATTATTGCATTTTTGGCTTCCTTTCAGATCACTTTACATAACCCTAAAATACGGGTAAATATATTTCATTAGTTTTAAAGATATTAATAAATAAATAAAAAACATATATTTTTCAGCCTTTCTTAAAAAAATTATTAAAAATACCTGTCCTGAAATCAAAACTATATTAGGTATTTACTTTAGATAGTCTGTAATTACTTTGCTATAAATATTGTAATCGTAAACCATACAGGATGTTCAAAATTCTACGCCAAACTTTTTAAAATATAAAGTAATTTTGCTTCGTTTTTTTAAATGGAACCTGTATATTATTTTTTTAATAGACGGAGAATTAATAACTCAACATTTTTTGTATTTAGAGTATTTCAAATTTTTTATTAGTTTCAAGATATTCCTGGTTTTATATTTCATATGGCATTTTCTACAGTAAATGTTTATCAAAACCATCCCTATGATTTTTCTCGCGTATTTTACCGTTGAAAGAGCCATATGAAATAATACTGCGTGTATCTGCGCAACAATTAAAAATTTTGAAATACTTGAAATACAAAAAATGTTCCTTTCTTAACTCTCCATCTAAAAGAAAAATAATATACAGGGTGTCCCATTAAAAAAAACAAATAAAAATTATTTTATATTTTAGAAAGTTCGGCGTAGAATTTTGAACACCCTGTATGATTTAAGATTACGAAATGTATAACAAAGTAAGTATACAGGGTGGTCCGAACTGTATTCTGGAAACTTCTGCAGCAAATTCCTCAGATTAAAATAAGTAAAAAAGTTCTTATAAATGTATTTTGTAAAATGCATAGTTTCGGAGATACAGGGTGTAGAAGTTTCATTTTTATTTCGATTTTTGCCAAATAATTTATGAAGTAACGTCAATATTTGGATCAAAATTGGTGTCTGGGAGTTTTTTGACATGAGAAATTTGATTTTTATGTCAATATGACTCGTACTTGTAGAGGGCACA